GTGACTCTGGGCAAGTCCTTTAATTTCTTTGTATCTCAGCCAACTCCCCAGGACTTATTAAGTCATAGATCAATTGTGATCTGTGTAGATTATTCCTGTGTTCGAGTAAGTTTTATTGATGCCCTTTGCTTTTACTCTGTAGTGAATTCCTGATGTGTCCTCCTTCCTCTTGCCCTTTGAACCCATCCTTATAACAACAACAACAACAAAAAGGAAAGCCAGCTAACACAGCTACTGTTAGTGTATGCAGTACATTTAGCATCTGTAGTCCCCATTTCACTTCCAAGAAGAGTGGCCTCTTTTTATTGTATTTTTTAAAAAATATTTATTTATTTTTAGTTTTCAACATTCACTTTTATAAGATTTTGAGTTCTAAATTTTCCCCCTCCCTCTCAATCTGACATAGGCTATACATGTGCAATCATGTTAAACATATTTCCACATTAAGAGTGACTTCTCTTTTTAAGAGAGCAGACCTAAGTGATTTGGGTTAGAAACAGCATTAATAGGAGGTACTTTGGCTCTCTCCCAGGCCTAAAGCAAGCTGAAGGCCAAGTGCAGGTCTCCCAGAGAGATCAGGTGGGCTTCAGGTCAGAGAGAGCTTAGCTATATTTCCCATCCCTCTTCAGAAGGAGGGCAGGAAGGACACCTTCCTGTGGAAGTGATCGTCTTCTGAACTCTTGGCTCATCCTGTCTCACATCCATGTCTATGAATTTCTTGTTTGGAAATTATTTTCCTTTCTCCAGAGTGAGCATTACAAATGATTGTGTTTTTGGTGCCACTTAAGCATCGACAGGTTTTACTTGAAATATTTTCCAAAAATTACCGGGTGCGTCGGAATCTGATCCAGACTCGACTAAATCAAGAATGTGGAGAAGACCTCAGCAAACAGGAGGTGGATAAAGTGTTAAAGGTAATAGCCCACTTTGGGGTGCATCAGATAAAAAGGTCCTTCCTACAGACAGGGGCATGTAAATTACAAAACGAACTGTTTTGAAAGAGTGCTAGTTGTGGAATTGAAGGACCTGTGTTTGATTTCCAGCAATGCTGTTTACTGTCTGTATGACCACATTCAAGGGAAGTGAAATGATGTGCCCTCAGGGTCTACAGCTGCTTTAGGATCCTTATTAGCCTCATAGACTTAGAGGCAAACTTGGTCAACTCCTTCATTTGATAGATGAAAGCAGTGAAGCTGAAAGGGTTGTCCAAAGTTATGCAGGTATTCTAAGTTGACGTTTTGAACCCAGGTCCTCTCTTAGCAGACAGAGTTGGGGTTAGAATTTAGTTGTCCTGACTCCCAGTCCAGAGTTCTGTCATATCAGTTAACCCTTGTGAGAAAAACATGCTTTACCTAGTAATTTAGATTTTTTAAAAATCATAGCATTCCTCAGAAGCATTGAAGTACAAAAAAACCCAAGTGTACTTTTCACATAGTCTTTTTTCCCCACAATATCCCTATATAGTTAGAATAGCCTTCATTTAGCTTTTTCTGTTTCATAAATGAAGAAACTTTAGGCTACCTGTAAAGAGATTTGTCAGCATGTCCATGTTGAGACTAGAACCCAGGTCTCCTGACTCCTAGCTGTTCATTAACCTCTATTGTTTAAGTATTTATTGGTGGCATCGTTCAGGACATCATGAATGTGGCTGAGTGAAGTTCATTGTAATAATTTCTCACATCTGATTTTTCCCCTCCCCTATTCCCAGGACTGCTGTGTAAGCTATGGAGGCATGTGGTACCTTAAAGGAACAGTGCAGTCCTGACAGTCATAGTGAACTGCTTAACCCCACAAATGTAGGCCAGAGGATGGATACCACAGTGAGCAGAGATGGAAGTAACACCTTGACTTGCTTCAGGGAACATGGGGCAGGATCTGATCTTCACGTGGCCACGGGGCATTGCACAAGCCAGTTATAGAGGTCGTCACATTCAGTTTGCATGGCCAGTTGGAGGCAGGAGTGCACCCAGGAGAAATCAGCCAGGATCCTCTTCCAGTATCATTTGGAATTCCTAATGTATTTTTGCTTCTCATTTGGTTCCATTCTAATAATAAAAAGAGTATATACTGATACAGGCGAGATGGAAAAAAATCATGGTTTAATATTTTATTTTGTAATTCAATGCCAACCAAGTTAAAAGTTCTGTTTACAAGATGAGAAAAGCTTGAGGTTTTTAATATTTAAAATGCCTAGAAGCTGATGCTTAGTTTTAGATTTTCTGTCTATAAAAGCATCTGCCAGTTCCATTAAACAAGCCAAATTGCAGTATAATACTGTTGGGTTTTTATAGCCATTTAAAAATTTTAAACAATGTTACTACCTTATGTAGCAACTTTCTCTTAATTGTTTACATAAAACAGCAGATAGAAAGAACAGACTTAGGACTTAAAAATTTATATATTCTTTTGACCTGTTTGCATGTCTATGCAAATAAAGGTAAGTCCTGGACAATATGTAAGTGTAGTTATCACAGTTTGTGATGTACAGATCTCTATTTTGTGTATTTTAAAAATAAATGCTAACACAAACTCTTGGCATCATTTTGGTGCCACATCTTTTTATGACAAAAGGAAAGCAATGTAACCAGCTCTTAAAGCAGTTGCACAAAAAGTGGAGAAAGCTCCTTAAATAGAAAGGAAAATGAGATTTTTATTGTAATGTCAAAACTAGAGGTATCCAAGCTCCAGTGAACAGGTTCTTTGTAGAGGCATTACCAGTTCATCATAGCCAATAGCTATGTGAGATGCTGGAAAATACACCTTTTTGCCTACATATAGGAAGGTACTCAATTGCCAGTCTGCCTTGTATGAAATCTGAGGGCATCCTTTGTTCACCCTCTCAACACCAACTACTTAGGTTGGAAAGCTTGGAAACTATGCAGAAATTCATTAGTTTTCAATAAAGGATCACACCCTACTTCAATGGGTGGCCCGCACTGCCAATTGAGTTAGTTACGAGACAATCAGAATCTTAGAATCTCAATCTCAGATTTGGGTACAGACTCTGGAGATTATTTTAGTCAACCTCTATCTGAACAGGTATCCTTTTCACAGCATCCCCGACAGTCTTCTGCCTAAAGACTTCTGGTGATGAGAACCCCTTCCCCTTTTAGTCAGTTCTTTTTCTAGAGGTAAAGTGTTTTGTAGTTTGTAAAAATACAAGTGATCATATTTTGTTAAAAATCAAAAGACCAAGATGAGAGATGGAGTTATAAGACTTTTAAAATAGCAGTTAACTAATTTGTTTAAACTACAACTAATAATAAAGTCCTTTAAGGACAGCCTCTGAAAAGAACACCCTGACTTTTGCCATGAGGAAGCTTCCTACTAGCTGAGAAACTTAAGCCATCATTGGATATAAGTGTGCAACTGGATCTAAATGTGGGAAAGTATATCTGTGGCTTCCAAAAAATGCACATTTGAATACAATGGATGATAGTGGATGACTTGGGAAGATGGAGAAGAGAATGATAGTGGGTGACAGAAAAAGCCAGTGATGATAACAATAAAACATTTGAATTGAAAGAAATGTAAGTCTTAAAAATATCTTATTCAAGTTTTTCACTGTATAGCTTCTCTTTCTTTTAAAGCGATCATATTTTAGGTGGGTAATCTGTATATGGGCAAATATATGAAAGATATGTAACGTTTAGCTTGGTTTGTCTCCAAAAAAAGTTATCTAATGGATTATATATTGGTCAACAAGGCAAAGTATCTCTTCTTGGTTTAGATAGGTATCTGGCTATGTAGCTTAGTAGACAGTAAGTACCAGGTTAATGGTTCCAACTTTTTAATCACCCATCGAAGATCATGAGAATAGACTATAGAAATAAGTTTATTAGGTATCTTAATACATTAGTCATATATATCCATCTCCTTTCCCATTGGGGTCAGTGAAAGGCACATACCTCAGATTTTGTCTTGTCAACTTTTTACACAATATACGTGATTCTGAAAATGTTCCACCCATATAAATATATATATCTAAATACATTGAATTATACAACTTGCATATCAAGGGAATTCTTATGTCCCAATTTCTTGATTGTAGATCTAAATTTTATTTTGTTTTTCTGAAAGTGAAGACACATGATTACCTTATTTTGGGTTCCTCTGGTGCTATTTTTAAGTTTGGGACTTAATGGGAGAGTCATGGGAGAGTCCATGACCTAAGGTAGTTCTGTTTGTTTAAAAAAATTCTGTTTTCTCTACCTTTTGAGCAGCAATGTGACACTAAGGAAAGGGATGGGGAAAACACTCATTGGTTGATATTTTAGTTAATCAGTAAGCACTTACTAGTTACCTATGCGCCAAGTACTGTTTGGGGTGCTAAGGATGTAATTATCAAGTGAGATTCTTGGTCTCTGGGAACTTGGCTTGCTATTGGGCTTGCCAGTAGGCCTAAAGTATCGATTTCCTTATCTGTGTCAAATGTGTGTGTGGGGGTGTGGGATTGAACTAGACTTCCCAGATCCTGTCCAGCTCTATTTAATGATCTTCCATAGTTTCTACTTGTATACCAGTGGGGTTTTAGGCAAAGAAAGGCAAATGATAGTGCTCCTTATAGTTAACTGTGAGCAACCTACAGAGACAACTTGATCTCCAAGCTTGATCATTTACAGGCTATTTTAAGAAATGGAATAAAAAGTACAGTGAAAACAGTGGCAGAGGTAAAATGTTAAGCTTAACTCCCAAGGATGGGGGGGTTTTCCACATGTGTCAGATGAAGTGAGCCTTTCTAGTGGTAAGTAGTGATACTACTTATATTTGCATACTACACCTTGCATCTGCAACAATGCAAAGTGCCAAACAATTGAGCATTTGTCTCTGCTAAATAAATGGTGGTTTAAACTTTGTTTCAAAGCAGCCGTGCAGTTCTTAATTCCTTATGAATTCTTCGTAAACATAATTTGCCATTTATTAAAGGGGGAGAATAGATTTGGGCAGTGGAACATCTTGAAGTTTGGTATGAGTAACAGACTTGTTGGTTCGTTTCCATAGATAGCTTTATTTTCAGAAAAATATTTACAGTAGTTCAGAACTGCAGTTCTTTTAAATAGTCTTAATTTATAAGAACGTATATAGGTCATGTGTAGATATACTTCCACGCTGGTAGAAACAAATACTGTTTAATAAGGAAACAGGAAATAAATTTTTACAACTTCTACAATTAGAGAGAAACATTGACAAAAATTCTAGGAATTGAGCAAGAGCTTATTTGGCCAGCCAGCCAACAAACCCCCATCTATTAAGACAGAACATACATAATAAACAAGTAGCTTCTACAAAGAACACCTTGGTCCTAACTCAAGCCTTAAGAACAATCCCCGTGCTCCTCCTCCCCCCTCCTCCCATTTTTCCTTTCCAAATGAGTTCTGAAAAACCTGCTCTTGAAAAGAGGTAGGTTACAAGAACAAATGTGAGGATAACTATTTCTCCACATTCATAGTACACAAAGTGTGCTTTGTGAATAACTTGCCCTCCTTTGGTTCTTTTTTGAGTGATGATGAGTAACTTGCCTTTAATGTTTAAAGCCAACTCTAAGTAATACCAGATGCAATCAAATTAGAAAATACAGTCTGCCCTATACAAATTACATTACCAAATGGCCTATTCTCTGGTACATTTTCCATATCTAATTCATGGTATTTTAAAAATCATGATTGTACCCTATACGCATTTCAGGACAGTTGTCTCAAACATTGACTTTTACCTGGTTTTTAAATGATCACGCTAAGCTACCTTGACCATGTGGCTGAGAATGACTTGCCCACTTAGAGTACCAGTGTTTCCAGACCCCACCCTCCCACCAGAAGTACACGTAACCCTTCTACACATACCCTGTTCAGCTTTTTGGAATATAAACTCCATTCAATCCCATGCACCAGCTCCTATTCTGCAGAGAGCAGGCTGGTTTTGTCATAGCTGCTGACCCTAATGGCTACTCTGCTTCCTCTCCTTGCTCCATGTATTTTCGGGGTCAGCAAAGAGGGAGACTTCATTTGCAACATTTACAGCGGCCACTGCATAACCTGGACCAACTATAAACTGTGGCTTGAAGTGGAGAGATGAGAAAAAAGGTGTAGCAGCAAGAGCTAGAGTACTAGAAAGAGGTTAGCTAAGAACGTGGTGAGCGAGACTGATACTTTGTTCTTTGATCGTCTATCTCTTGCTTAGTTCTCTTGATGCAACTAAAGATCTCCTTGAAGAGGGCTTTGTATTCTGGAGGAGGGGTGGTGGCAGAACTACTCGAGTCTGGAATGACGCTGGCCAGTTCCTGGCTGCTGGGAGCATCGGTGCTCCTCACATTCGAGGCTGGGGCAGGACCCCTACAAGTCTGCACAGCCTTATGTTTCAGGGAATCCTCCTCCTGCTGGCACTTCTTCAGCAGCTCTTCGTATTTGACCTTCAGAGCTCTGTACTGGGTGTCTACTTCATGTAACAGGGAAATACCTCTCTGCTTCATGGCCTCAGTTTTCCTAATGCAAGTCTCTTCGTGGCCCTTAACGATGTCACTCCCAGCCAGACTACTCAGGGCTATCTCACTGCTGCTGCGTTTGAGAGGCTTTTTGCTCTGCTCTGGCCCAGCTAGGAATATTTCCTCAAACAGGGTCTGGCTGGATTCTTTGACAGAAAGGAACAATGAATCTGGCACCAGGTTTTCAACACCATTCACAAACGGATGTTCTGTCTGTAGCATCTGCCGCATTTCTGCCACCTCCGCCTCCAGCTCCAGGGCCCTCACTCGGTAGGCTTCTGAGGCTCCCAGCTGCTGTTCCAGGTCACAGTTCTCCTTCAGTACCATCCCATACTCCTCCTCCATAGTCATTCTCTTCTTCCGCTCTAAGCTCAGCTGGGCCTGCAACATTGTGACCGTCTTTTTCAAGTTCTCATTTTCTTCTTCGTCAAGGGTTTGCTGGTTATGCATAGAGGTTATCTTCTCAGCAAATATGTGATCGTACACAAAGTGCCTGGGGGGAGAGGGAAACAATGCACAGAAATTATTAGGATTTTGTCTCCAGAACCATCAAGGGCTTACAATGAAGCTGCATGAGACTAGTGAGCAAATTAATACTCAAGTCTTTTAATCATAAACAATTATCTCAAAGGTGAAGAGCAGTATGTTAACTTACAGGGGAATTAAGTTGCAAATATTCCCCACTGTCACTTTCCTCTGCTTATTACAAGGTTGCTTATTAATAAGCAGCTAGGTGGCACAGGGGTTGGATGCTGGGCTTGGAGCCAGGAAGACCTAAGTTCAAATCCAGCCTCAAACATTTCCTAGCTGTGTGACCCTGGATAAGTCATTTAATGTCTGCCTACCTCAGTTTCCTCAACTGTAAAACAGGGAAAATAATAGCACCTCCCCCCAGGGTTGTGAGGTTCAAATGAGATAATATTTGTAAAGCACAGTGCCCGGCATATAGTAGGTGCTGAATAAATGCTTATTTCCTTATCTAAAGGCTAGGGTAACAGTCTTTCTCACTGAAGTTAAAACGGACTTAACTGTAGAGATGGGATGAGTGATATAAGACTAAAAGAAGGGTCTAAAAAAAGTGCTTCAATGATGGGTAAGATCCCTCCCTGAGAAAGAGGTGACCTGAGGCTAATAAGGAGAGAACTAAGGGGCTGAGAGAACAGACCTGGCAGCCTTCATAGGCCTTAGGAAAGAACAAAGAAGGCTCAGATAAGAGCTTTATCTACGTAGCCAGAGACTGGTATGGATTGAAAGAAGCTGTGGACAGCCTTAGACAAGACTCCTCAGAGCTGAAATATGGCCCCTTGGAGAACCCAGATACCCAAAACCCTCCCCCCCAAAAGAACCCCATAAGAATTAAGGTAACACCTCAGAGAATTAAAGTACTGGCAGTTCCCTAATGGTTCAGTCTCACAAAGATCACTGGAGTGCTACAGTAATCACATCTGCCAATTCTTTCTGTATGTTGGGGTATGCAGTTCATGTGGGCCTGGCAATTGGAAACCATAAAGGGTGGCAGTTTGCCAGTTTTATACTCTTTCCCAATATGAAAGTCATTTTCTCTGGCAGAGAAAAGCAAAGTAAGAGTTGACTGGCTGAACTTTCCCCCATTGTTCCATCTACCCCTACATAGCAGCCTGTTCTTGAGAAGATGTGCCAAATACAGGGGTGGGGTTGGCTATCAGACCCTTGTGATGACAGACAATCTTCCCCATATGCCTCAAAAGACTTCATTCTTTTAAGATACCACCATGCAACCAGTAACTTAGGTTCACAACTCTGGAGTCATCTTCTGTGCTTTCCTTCACCCTGCCCCCCAACCCATCCATGCACTTGCCAAGTCTTGTCAATTCTACTTCTCCTACGTCCTTCTCTTCATTCATACAACACCTCCCCTAGCTCAGACTCTCATCACCTCTCAACCGGGATTATCACAACAGCTTTCTACTTGGCCTCCTGGCTTCCAGTCTCTGTGCTCCAATCTATCTTCCACAAATTGCACACTGATGCTCCTAAAATGCAATTCTGATTACATCACTCTCTTACTCTTCAATGGGTTGGCATTTAAAGCCCTTTGCAGTCTAGCTCTTATCTAGCTTTCCAATCTTAGTTACTATTACTCACCTTTACCCACTCTCCCTTCTGGTTAAACCAGCCTGCTCAATATTTCTCATATTCATAATCTTCTATATCTGCTGATGTACAAGTGGTTGCCTCACGTATGGAATGCCCTCCCTCCTCACCACCTTGTCAGAATCACTAGCTTCTTTCAGACTACAGCTTAAGTCCTCCCACGTCCTGATTCCCTCGGGTGTCAGTGCACTTGAAATTACATTGTATACTCTTTGGATTTTACTGATCTGCATATCTTTTGTACTCTTCTTATAAAACATAGGCTACTTGAAGGCAGGGGCTCTCAATTTCATCATATCTCCAGCGCTAAATACGGTGCCTCACACACAGTAGGTGCTTCAATGTTTGTTGAACTGATACTATAAGACAATTTACTTCCAATATGATCTGGCTTGGTCACACTCACATATGGCTGTGATAAAGTTATGAGCCCACATCATTTGCTTCTACTCTGTCAAGGATCTACACTCAAATTTGAACTTGGAGGTAATTGTGACACCAGTTCCTATGGGATAACTTGGATAGGCATTCCTGAGGCCATAAATTACTTTATTCCCTTGGAAGAGCTAGCACAAACATTTACAATGTTTCCTGAGGGAACTCTAGGCCATCATGAATGCCTAATATATTGCTTAGTTCACAAATTGATACCTGAACTATATATACTCCCCCATATCTCTGGATCCCAGGTTAAAAGAACTTTAGTATTTCCTCTCCTGCTTGGGGTTTGGGAATACTTCCACCAGTATAGATGGATGCTTCTGAAGGCCCCAAGAAGGTTCCTACAGGCTCATATTTTACTAATTACTAACCATTTACTAATTACTAACTTCATCAGACAGAAGAATATTATAGCCAGTATCAATTTTCATAAAAAAGTAACTGTTTTCCATTATTTCAGAATTGCTATTTGCTCATCAGGAAACATTCTGCCTAATAAAATATCCATTTAATTAATCTTCTAATGTGAAAGCTCAAAAAACTTTCTTGTAGAAAATCTATCTTAAAATATTTTCAGATAAAAGAAGAATGTGTATCTGAACTAAAATGAAAGAAACAGTTTTCATGAAGTAATCACAAAGCCAGATTTATCTTCCTCAAATTTCTAGACCCAGGTGATGAGGGTTTATACTTAATTTCCATTAATGAAAGAACCCATCATTCATAAATGCAGAATCAAAGCTATTGCCTTGCTTCAGACTACTTGTGGTTTAAAAACTGTAACTTTTCCAAGAAAGATACATTTTGAAAAGTATACAATTTCTGCTCAACCGAAACCCTGACTTCACCAAGCACTGAAAAATGTTTTTGCTTGTAAATACAAAAGGAAGAGACTGGTAGCAGCTTACTTGCGTAGGTCATAAAGTTCCTTCAGACATGAGAAGCTGTGCACTGACTTTCGCTGCTCACATCTCTCCTGGCTCCCCCTCCCACCACTCGAGGTCTTCAGCTCCTCCATCTGGTTCTGGAGATGGTCAACATGGCTCTGCAGGCATTCGATTGTTTCAGTCAGACTGGAAAGAGAGAACATAGACCAATTACAGCTTGTTACATTCAATCAAGGGCATGACCCATGAAGAGAGATTAGTTACACTGAAAGTGGGATTTCTTAATTGGAAAGGACTTCTGTTTAACCCACTCTCCTTTATCCAGGGCAAAGAAAACAAGCTGAAATGTTACCACGTTATCACTTCAACGGACCACCCTTCACTCGTATCCTGTCCTAAGTCTACAGAGTAAGTCAAATAGCTCCGTGAGGTCTTCCTCAACTTCCATGACAAGAAACCATAGGAACCTTACCTCACAATCTTTTGCTGGGACGCCTTGCTGTCCGATACGAGCTTCTGATTTGTCTCTTCTAGCTCCCGTGCAGTGACATCCAGTTGTTCATAAACCTTTGCATGTTGTTCATTCATCTGTCGTAGGAGCTCCACTTGTTTGGTCAGGTACTACAAGGGAGGAATGATGAGGCTCTCTTACAAGCTTAACCAAGGAAAATATTATTGGCTTATTTATTGAAAAAGTTACTTTAAATACAAATGGAATAACTATAAAAGAGCACAGGACATCCTTGGGGTACCAAACTCTCCCAACTGTTACTATATGTCTCTGGGAAATTTTGATGTGCACTATAGCCACTGAAAATGAATGTTCAGAAGGACTCAACAACAACAAAATCTAAACATAAGACAGGGTTATCCCATAGGAAAGTATGTTTTAGAGGATATAATTTCTTTTTAACTTAGTTTGCTATGAATGCTTAAGTACAAAATCCTTTCAAAGAGCAGTAACAACAAAGGCTCAACTGGAAGATTTTAATTAAAATTGAAAAACAATGCTTAATCAGGGGAATTAATTATTTTTGGCAGAAAGTAATAAAAAACACATTGCCTTAAATACAAGGAGATATTTCAGCTTAATACCAATCAATCTCTCCTCCCCCTTATTTTTAATTCTGTGTGAAATGTTCTCTCTGTAATCCTCTTTGTGAGAAACTTGCCACCTTATTTATTTTTATAGGTCTAAGACTGCTTTCAAAAAGAGCTAAGGATAAAGGAAAGGGGAAAGACACCTTACAGACTTAGCATTTAAAGTCACCTTGGGCTACACTGTCCATCCAAACCAGTAGGCAGATATTACAGCATAGATTAAAATACTTTTCATTTTATATGCATGTTTATTTTGGGACCTGAAGCAGAAGAAATGTTTAAGGTGGGTTTAAAAATTACTACTATACATACATAATGTACGAAGGTCACAACAAGACAGATGGGTTTTCTAAGATTACATAATACTCAGAAATGACATTAAGAGACTTAGGCAGCATGATGTCATTGAAACAACAGTAGATAAAGACATAAGAAGACCTCAGGTTGAGTCCTGGTTCTGTGATTTACTTGATATGTGGTAATCTCAGACAAGTTACTCAATCTCTTTGACCAATCTCTCTTCATCTGTAAAATGGAGACAGTCACTCCTACTGTACAAACCAGACCAGGGCAGTTTGGATCAAATGAGACCATGTACATGAATGAAAGAATCTTGTAGAATGTAATATACTCCATGACTGTAAGATGGTTTATAAAAAACAACCTGTCTGAGGCAGATTATCTGATGTTAAAAGTCATTCATGAGATTACAACGCAAATTTTGTAACTTTTGGATTTTGTAAAACTCAATTTCACTTGGCTATCTTACCACACCAGCTGATTGTGGATACTTTATTTCAAACACCGAAGCTTCACATAACTAGATTTTCCTAGTCAAAATTTATCTCAAAGATGTTTTTAATATATCCTATATACAAGTCAAGAAAAGAGATTACATTTTAAATCAAGAACCTCAGAAGCAGATCAAGTAGGTATATATACCCATTCTCAGGAAGAGTTTTTTGGGAAAAGCTATAAGCTATTCTTAGCTCCCCAGACGGGATGGTACCTTTGTACCAGGGTATCTACTTCAAAGGTGGCTAGATTGTACAATGGGGATAGAGTTTTGGCCTGGAATCAAGAAGACTTGAGTTCCAATCCTATCTAAGACACAAGCTGTGTGACCCCTAGGCAAGTCACTATCTGCTTCAGTTTCCTAATCTGTAAAATGGGGATCATAATAGTGCTCACTTCACATGGTTGTGAGGAATAAATGATGCAACATGTAAAACTAGGTAGCCATTCCTGAGGCATCAGAGAGCTCTGCATGGTGGCTTTAATATAGTCTAAAACATTGCAAGTATTATAACCAATGATAAAAAATTGGCCTATTTCAAATTAGATATTTGGAAACCTTAAAGCTTAAAATAGGGTACTATGCTTTTCTTTAGACAGCAACAAATAAGCTGACTGGACCATTAAAAACAAACTGAGTAGCAAATGTCCACACAGTATATGCCATGCAAAAGGGAAATGTAAAGGACTGGTACCTGACAGATAAGCACAATTAAAGCAATGAAGCCAATTACAAAGTAGTGGTGAGGCACAGCACTTGGAAAATGTGGCATTAACAAATTAAATGGGAGCAGCTTAGGTGGTGCAGTGGATAGAGCTTGAAGTCAGGAGGACCTGAGTTCAAATCTCAGACACATAATACTAACTAGCTGTGTGACCCTGGGCAAGTCACTTAACCCCATTGCCAGCCCCCCCCCCAAAAAAATTAGATGGAGACACATAACTAGTTCTCACTTACATAAGTTTGTTTTAACCTTTTTTTTTTTTTTTTTTTTTACTTTTTTGGTGAGGCAATCAGGGTTAAGTGACTTGCCCAGGGTCACACAGCTAGTAAGTGTCATGTGTTTGAGGCTGGATTTGAACTCAGGTCCTCCTGACTCCAAGGCTGGAGTTTATTCACTGCACCACCTAGCTGTCCCTGTTTTAACCTCTTATCTGAAGTCAGAGCTAACAGGTGTTGAATGGAACCTAACCTAAACGATTCTCCAAGAATTTGCCATGAGCAAGCAAAACTTAGGAATGGTAACAAATAAATTTAATTAAGACAGGACAGAACACTCTAGAATAGCATCCTATGTCTCAACAACATCTTGATATGTATTCAATATCTAGGCAAATAATTATTTGGCATGAGGGCTGAATACCAATTGGTAAAATGACAAAAAATGCCATAAAATTTAGGTATGCGTTAAAGCATTTGGTTGTCTGCGATGAGATCAATACTCCAATAAATACAGAACATGCCTTTGATCTATGAATTACCTTAGAAAAGAATCTGAAATCAGAAGTACTGATCAGACCTAGAGATGCAACATCCCTCGTACCTCATAGAAGGGGAGGTATAACAATATTTTATCCCTCTTTACACAGCCAGGAGACCAAATATGATGGAGAAATTTGAGACTTCATTTTTTATCTCAGATATTGCAATATCTCAAATATTGCAATAGAATGCAGAAGCATTCTATTAAGCCATTAAAGAGATTTACAAAAATATGTAAAACAATGCCACTCCTCTTAGAAGTTTTCTTTTGGAAAATAGCTATCATTCATTAAAATGTGTTATCTTTGTTAACGTGTAATGGATCTATTATTGTTATTAATAAATATTTGAAATTTTATCAGTTTTTATTTCTAATATGATAAATATTAATAAATATAACCCATATAAACAAAGGTTCTTTGGAACCCTCAATAATTTTTAAGAGAATAAAGGACAAGGGTGGAGCCAAGACGGCAGAGTAAAAGCAGGGACTTGTTTGAGCTCTCCCCCAAACCCCTCCAAATATCTGTAAAAAATTATTCTAAACAAATCCTAGAGCACCAGAACCCACAAAAAGACACAGTGAAACAAATTTCCAGCCCAAGACAACCTGGAAGGTCGATAGGAAAGGTCTGTTGCACCAGGCTGAGAGAGGAGCATAGTGCCAACACAAACCGTGCCAGCACAGATTAGGTTCCAGCAAACCCTGAGCAGGCAGCATGGGACTGAATCACTGGCAGCTGTGGTGGTTTCCAGACTTCTCAACCCACGAATGCCAGACAACTTAGAAGGTCAGTAGGAAAGGTCTATCAGACCTGGGTGGGAGATGAGTGCGGTCCAGCCACGACCCCAGAGCAGCCCTGGGATGGTGGTTGCTGCTTCCAGAGCTCTCAGACCACAGATGGTAAGGCGATCGAACAAGTGATTAGAAGGAGATTACATGGATCTCTGCTGGCACTGAGGCAGGATTCTGTTGCTTGCCTATACTTGGATCTGGGTCACATTCCTGGGAGGCGTTCCTGGGGCAAGGAGGGGTGAAGGTATAGCAGAACTTGTTCAAGCAGTGGAGAGGGAACCCTCCTCACAGTTCCAGGACAGAAAAGAGTGTTTGTGATCATTCACAGACCAGAGCACTGGCCAGGAGAGGAGTAAACACCTCTTCTTGGATCATACCACCTTGGAAGAACTGAAAACTTATAGGTCCCTAGAAGTATCTCTGAAAACAACTGCATAAAACCCCTAAAGCTTGAGACAGTACACTCTCCACACTGGAAGCAGAGCCTACCTTAACAAAGAGTTAAAAAGTCAAGTAATTGGCTGGGGAAATGAGCAAACAGCAGAAAAAAACTCAGATTATAGAATCTTACTTTGGTGACAAGGAAGATCAAAACATACAATCAAAAGAAGACAACAAAGTCAAAGCTCCTACATCCAAAGCCTCCAAGAAAAATACAAATTGGTCTCAGGTCATGGAAGAGCTCAAAAAGGACTTTGAAAATCAAGTAAGAGAAGTAGAGGAAAAAATGGGAAGAAAAATGAGAGTGATGCAAGAAAAATCATGAAAAACGAGTCAATGGCTTACTTTTGGAGACCCCAAAAAATACTGAAGAAAATAACACCTTAAAAAATAGACTAACCCAAATGGCAAAAGAGGTCCAAAAAGCCAATGAGGAGAAGAATGCCTTAAAAAGCAGAAATGGCCAAATGGAAAAGCAGGTTCAAAAGCTCACTGAAGAAAATAATCCCTTAAAAATTAGAATGGAGCAAATGAAAGCTCTATGAGAAATCAAGAAATTATAAAACAAAACCAAAAGAATAAAAAATAGAAGACAACATGAAATATCTCATTAGAAAAACAACTGACCTGGAAAACAGATCCAAGAGAGAGAATTTAAAAGTTATTGGACTATCTGAAAGTCATGATAAAAAAAAAAGACTAGACATTATCTTTCAAGAAATTATCAAGGAAAACTGCCCTGATATTCTAGAACCACAGGGTAAAATAGAAATTGAAAGAATCCACCAGTCAACTCCTGAAAGAGATCCCAAAAGGAAAACTGCCAGGAATATTATAGCCAAATTCCAGAGTTCCCAGGTCAAGGAGAAAATATTGCAAGCACCAGAAAGAAACAATTCAAGTATTGTGGAAACACAATCAGGATAACACAAGTTTTAGCAGCTTCTACATTAAAGGATCAGAGGGTTTGGAAAAATATATTCTGGAGGTAAAAGGAGGTAGAAT